GGGCTTTAGGCTTGCCATAGTCGTTGTTTTGGTTTCTCTGTGCATGTGCGCGCGCACCCAAGAAACAACCTAGACCCTTTTCCATTGTGAACCCAAAGTGTTACCCCTTGCACTATAAGGTAAATGGTAAGTGATTCGTAAATGTGGTTTCCTGAAGTTAATGATGTAATTAAAAGGAAAATAATATGGTATTTGTATAAAAGTAATTATATTGCCATTTCATTTGTATTACTTAAAAAAATATATAAGAAACTGAACAAGAGTTTTTGGAATTGTAGCATGAGAAAATGTTACAAGCATTGAAAACAGCCATGGTGTTTTGTACAGCAACGGAGTACTGGCTAGTTATGTTGCAATGAATGCACCTTATGAAACTGGCATTTCTCCAGCTACACAGGAGTACGAAGACACAGTTGAATCTCCCACATGAATATTGTACTCATTACAGCTTTTGTTCCCATAATATATATATAACTACACAGGGCTGGTGTTCCCATAATGCAAGTATAATATATACGTACATGGATACTTAAGGATCAGGTCCCCAGACCTACATACCACCATAACTTGAGAGATGAGAAACAAGGAAATGTAGAATAAATCCAATGAAAACAGAGGCTCAATAGGTACAGGTGTTTAACAATGTCAACAAGCCCCTTTAACTTATTACATGCATTTTTAAGACTTATTGCTGAAACGCACAAGGTTTTCAACAGAAAACTGAAGCACTACCTATTGCAAATGCCCGATTAGCCAGTGTTTGATAGTGTTTTCTGTTTGCAGGCAGCTAGCAGCAATAGCCTGGTTGACCAGGCAGTCACCCTTTTACATTTTCTTAGGGCATTGAATAACATTATACTACCTATGTCAGTTCAGTCTCAGAGGTTACAATATACTTATTCTGTCACGATTGTAAATTAATAAGAGTATTAAATTGCAGGTGTGGGTCACCAGGAAGCAGGCCACTCACAACCTTGTACGACCTGGCTGTAGGTTCTACATTTGTTCCCTCTCCACTACCACCATTGTTTACAAGGGTCAGCTCACCTCTGATCAAGTGTGGACTTACTTTCATGATCTAAGAGTAAGTACTCAGTCTTTATTTTGAAGATTTAAGAGAAAGTAATTTTATTTTGATTTGATACTTTTATTTTGACTTTGAGTACGTAAAATAGTTTTGTTGGTCTTGAGTGCACACACAGGCACAAGATGCCCATCTTTTCAAAGCTTGATGATTTAGTTACCTAAATATTTTCTGGATCACAAGAGTAAACTCGCATAGTGCTTTATAGTAATCTGTTTACATTAAAGTTTTATCACTGATTTCATCATTGCTTAGTTAATCTTAAGTTAATTTTAAGCCAGCCCGTAATGCTATGCATAGTATAAGTGGCTTTGGCATGCTGCTCTTATCTGTATTTTTTGTACCTCTGTATGTGTGCTCAAATTTTTAAATAAATAAATAAATAGTATCAAAGTGAGCACTTCGTGAAACTTTAAAATTCAGTTAAATAAATATGTGAGTAGGAATGTGCAAGTCTGAATAGGATGTGCCTAGCATAGGTTATTAGTTACACACACAAGCAAACACCTGGGACATTTTATTATGTCTTAAGTGTTTGCTCAGGTTTTCACCATAGGGCAGTAGGCCTACTGCAATGATTCTCTAGGCTTTGGACAATTATCTTACTTTCTACTGATATTGGTTAACTACAGTCATTTACTCTGCAGTTTGCATTATGTTTGTATTTTAATATTCAGATTCATAATTTTTTGGCAGAATCCTGACTTCTCTACTTACCTGGCCTTGGTACACACAAGGTTCTCAACCAACACCTTTCCATCCTGGGAGCGCGCTCACCCTCTCAGGTACGTTAGTGATTACTGTACTGTAGGTTACAATGCCTCTATATTTTGTCGTCTCATGAATCAGTGGACCAAGTCTTGCTGATTTAGAACTTGTCCATTCATTACAAGCATGAAAAATTAATTTAGTTACAGACAGTTGACAATATCGTACACCCTCTCCCCCTTCTTAGTCCATTAATTAGAGTTTTCACTATACCTGTAACAAAGCCTGGCTACATCATCAGCCACTCTGTTTACATTGAAAGTTGCTCCGTAAATATGTATGCTCATCAACGTTCATGTTGTCATAATGATTTACTGTATTAATATATCCGTGCTTCTAACAGGCAGACTATCAGGGTACTTTCTCTGGCTAATTTATCAGCTTAAACACGCTGCAGTAATTCAAAGTGAAATGGAATCCATAAATATACATTTTTTTTTTTTAACAAGTTGGCCGTCTCCCACCGAGGCAGGGTGACCCAAAAAAGAAAAAATCCTCAAAAAGAAGATACTTTCATCATCATTTAACACTTTCACCTCACTCACACATAATCACTGTTTTTGCAGAGGTGCTCAGAACACAACAGTTTAGAAGCATATACGTATGAAGATACACTACATATCCCTCCAAACTGTTAATATCCCAAACCCCTCCTTTAGAGTGCAGGCATTGTACTTCCCATTTCCAGGTCTCGAGTCCGGCTATATAAAATAACCGGTTTCCCTGAATCCCTTAACTAAATATTACCCTGTTCACAATCCAACAGATCGTCAGGTCCCAAATACCATTCCTCTCCATTCACCCCTATCAAACACGCTCGTGCATGCTGCTGGAGGTCCAGCCTCGCCTTTCAAAACCTCCCCTTTCCCCTTCCTTCTAACCTTTTCGAGAACAACCCCTACCCCGCCTTCCTTCCCCTACAGATTTATACGTTCTCCATGTCATTCTACTTTTATCCATTCTTTCTAAATGACTCGACAACCCCTCTTCAGCCCACTGACTAATACTTTTATAAACTCCACACCTTCTCCTAATTTCCACACTCCGAATTTTCTGCATAATATTTACACCACACATTGCCCTTAGACAGGACATCTCCACTGCCTCCAACCACCTCCTTGCTGCTGTATTCACAGCCCAAGCTTCACACCCATATAAGAGTGTTGGTACTACTATACTTTCATACATTCCCTTCTTTGACTCCATAGATAACGTTTTTTGTCTCCACATATACCTCAACGCACCACTCGCCTTTTTTCCCTCGTCAGTTCTATGATCAACCTCATCCTTCATAAATCTATCCGCCGACACATCAACTCCCAAGGATCTGAAAACATTCACTTCTTCCATACTCCTCCTCCCCAATTTGATATCCACTTTTTCTTTATCTAAATCATTTGATACCCTCTTCACCTTACTCTTTTCTATGTTCACTTTCAACTTTCTACCTTTACACACTCCCAAACTCATCCACTAACCTTTGCAATTTTTCTTTAGAATCTCCCATGAGCACAGTATCGTCAGCAAAAAGCAACTGTGTCAATTCACATTTTGTATTTGATTCCCCATAATTTAATCCCACCCCTCTCCTGAACACCCTAGCACTTATTTCTTTTACAACCCCATCTATAAATATATTAAACAACCATGGTGACATTACACATCCCTGTCTAAGACCTACTTTTACCGGGAAGTAGTCTCCCTCTCTTCTACACACCCTAATCTGAGCCTCGCTATCCTCGTAAAAACTCTTTACAGTATTTAGTAACTTGCCACCTATTCTATATACTTGCGACATCTGCCACATTGCTCCCCTATCCACTCTATCATATGCCTTTTCTAAATCCATAAATGCAATAAAAACTTCCCTACCTTTATCTAAATACTGTTCACATATATGCTTCAATGTAAACACTTGATCTACACATCCCCTACCCACTCTAAAACCTCCTTGCTCTTCTGCAATCCTACATTCTCTTACCTCTAATTCTTTCAATTATAACCCTACCGTACACTTTTCCTGGTATACTCGGTAAACTTATTCCTCTATAATTTTTACAATCTCTTTTGTCCCCCTTCCCTTCATATAAAGGGACTATACATGCTCTCTGCCAATCCCTAGGTACCTTCTCCTTTTTCATAAATTTATTAAACAAAAATACCAACCACTCCAACACTACATCCCTCCCGCTTTTAACATTTCTGTCATGATCCCGTCGGTTCCAGCTGCTTTACCCCCTTTCATTCTACGTAATGCCTCGCGCACCTCCTCCACACTCGCATCCTGTTCTTCTTCACTCCTGAAAGATTGTATACCTTCCTGGCCAGTGCATGAAATTACTGCTTCCCTTTCTTCGTCGACATTTTAAAGTTCCTCAAAATATTCTTGCCTTCTACCCAAAACCTCCATCTCCCCATCAACTAGCTACCCTACTCTGTTTTTAACTGCCAAATCCTTTCATTCTCTAGGCTTTCTTAACTTTTTTAACCCCAAAATTTTTTTCTTTTTTTCATTAAAATTTAAAATTTTCCGTAATCTTCTGTATGGGGAAGTGGAAAGATTTTCTCCGAAAGCCTGCGATGTAAGAGGCGCCCTAAAATGCCGGGGGAGAAGCGGATGAAACCCTTTCCCCGTATTTCTAAACTTAAAGGAAAAAATTTAGTTTTTTTTTTGGGCACTTTGCCTCCGTGGGGGGGCGCCGGTGTTTTAAAAAGAAGAGAAATTCCTTTCTTTGTGATGTTTTTAATGTTTTATTGGTTTTTAAAAAATATGTTGTCTTTTCCGGGCAACGTTCTTTTTTGCATTTCCCCCCATCAAGGGTGAGTGGGGGGAGGGAGAAAAAAATTGCTACTCTGCTCCTTTCTTGGACAATCCTAAATACGTCCCGTTCATTTGCTGTTAATTTCTTAGGGGGGTTAAATATCCCCTTGAATATATTAATATAACATACTGTCTTGGGTACACAAAAACAAGTTTGTGGTGTTTAACTGTTGTTATACATAAAATAAAAAAAATGTACGTACATTTACATTTTTTTTCTATCAAAGATGGGCCCTATCCCCCTGAGGCGGTGACCCCCGAAAAATAAAAAAGAGTTCCTTTTTTTTAAATTTGTAATATTACTGGAGGAGGAGTTTCTGACCCTGGGTCCCGGCATTTAGTCCCTAAAACGAAGCTGGCTTATGGGGGGAAGAATTACATTTACATTTATTTGTATATATTAAACGCTGCAAGTTGAAAAAAGTTTTACAAAAATTTAATATTTTTTATTTGTTAATAATCAATGGAGACTAAAAAAAGGGGGGGGGGAAGGGCCTGTGTATTTTGCTGCTATTTTTGAACGTGTTTCGAATAGTCTCATGATAAACAAAAAAAAAAGAAATTTAAAATGTTTCACTCAATTTTGTACCTGCTGAAAAGAACTAGATGGAATTAATGATACAGATTAATTTATTTTGAGTTTGTTTTGTTGGGTTTTTCTTTGCATAGGTAAGTTCGTATTAATTGCATTTTTTTTGATTTTATGATTGTTTGTATACAAAATTTTGTTAGTAATATGACTATAAGTTTAAACAAATACGTGCCATTTTTCCAGTTGTTTTTTTGTCTTGAAAATTTTTTCATGCCAAACTAAAAACGATAGAAAATGAAGCTTCTTCAAAATTTTTTGTTGTACAATGATTGTACAGTGGTACCTCGAGTTTAGAACAGCTCCCAACTCGAACAATTATGTAAGTGTATTTTTGGGGGTTGTAAAAGAAGTAAATGCTAGGGTGTTCGGGAGAGGGGTGGGATTAAATTATGGGGAATCAAATTCAAAATGGGAATTGACAGTTACTTTTTGCTGCTGATACTGTGCTTATGGGAGATTCTAAAGAAAAATTGCAAGGTTAGTGGATGAGTTTGAGAATGTGTGTAAAGGTAGAAAGTTGAAAGTGAACATAGAAAAGAGTAAGGTGTTTGAGGGTATCAAATGATTTAGATAAAGAAAAATTGGATATCAAATTGGGGGGAGGAGTATGGAAGAAGTGAATGTTTTCAGATACTTGGGAGTTGACGTGTCGGCGGATGGATTTATGAAGGATGAGGTTAATCATAGAATTGATGAGGGAAAAAGGTGAGTGGTGTGTTGAGGTATATGTGGAGTAAAAAAACGTTATCTATGGAGGCAAAGAAGGGAATGTATGAAAGTATAGTAGTACCAACACACTTATATGGATGTGAAGCTTGGGTGGTAATGCAGCAGCGAGGAGACGGTTGGAGGCAGTGGAGATGTCCTGTCTAAGGGCAATGTGTGGTGTAAATATTATGCAGAAAATTCAGAGTGTGGAAATTAGGAGAAGGTGTGGAGTTAATAAAAGCATTAGTCAGAGGGCAGAAGAGGGGTTGTTGAGGTGGTTTGATCATTTAGAGAGAATGGATCAAAGTAGAATGACATGGAAAGCATATAAATCTATAGGGGAAGGAAGGATGGGTAGGGGTTGTCCTCGAAGGGGTTGGAAAGAGGGGGTAAAGGAGGTTTTGTGGGCGAGGGGCTTGGACTTCCAGCAAGCATGCATGAGCGTGTTAGATAGGAGTGAATGGAGACCAATGATACTTGGGACCTGACGATCTGTTGGAGTGTGAGCAGGGTAATATTTAGTGAAGGGATTCAGGGAAACCGGTTATTTTCATATAGTCGGACTTGAGTCCTGGAAATGGGAAGTACAATGCCTGCACTTTAAAGGAGGGGTTTGGGATATTGGCAGTTTGGAGGGATATGTTGTGTATCTTTATTCGTATATGCTTCTAAACTGTTGTATTCTGAGCACCTCTGCAAAAACAGTGATAATGTGTGAGTGTGGTGAGTGTTGAATGATGATGAAAGTATTTTCTTTTTGGGGATTTTCTTTCTTTTTTGGGTCACCCTGCCTCGGTGGGAGACGGCCGACTTGTTGAAAAAAAAAAAAAAAAATTGTGGGGTCTGAAATGGACTAATCTAATTCCCATTATTCCTTATGGAAACAAATGGTTCAGTATCGGCACTCTAACAGCCTTCTGGAACGAATCAAGTTTGTAACTTGAGGTACCACTGTATATACAAATTTGGGTAGTTAAACATGTGATACAGTACTTAGTGTTATACAGTATACATACAGTAAGAATCAATTATACTGTTTATTAATTCTACATACAGGTATTAGATGTATTCCATTGGGTTTTACACAGATATCTAAAGATGGAAGGTGTTTGGATCTGAATAATGTTAGGTGCAATATTTTAATATCAGACCATACCCCCGGCCGGGATTGAACCCGCGGTCATAGTCTCGGAACTCCAGCCCGTCGCGTTATGGTTTGTTTGCAATCGTGTCATTACGATTTCTTGAGTCATTTTAATATCAGATTTGGCATTGCTATATACATTTCCTGTACTATTAATTTTAGTCAAGATTTTCGTAGCTTATGCAATTTTCTACCAGATTAATGGCACACAATGGCGAGATCAATACCCTGCGTGGTAATGTGAATTTGATGAAGGCGAGAGAAGGAGTGATGAAGAGTGCAGAGTTTGGCAGTGAACTCTCAACACTCTACCCTGTGGTAGAGCCCAATTTGTCAGATTCTGGTGCTGTGGACTGCTGCTTGGAGTTCCTGGTTATGGCTGGTGGTCGCTCTTTGCCAGAGGTATGTACAATGTTTTTTTTTTTTTTTTTTTTCAACAAACTGGCCATATCCCACCAAGGCAGGGTGACCTAAAAAGAACTTAGTTTCTCTTTAAATTCAGTAATTTAAACAGCATTTTAGTCACTTCTTATGACATGCAGAGCTTATGGAGGAAGAATTGTTCACTTCCCCATGGAGATAGGAAATAAACAACATGAAGAACTAGTTACGTAGGCTACTGCATTATTGTAGTTCAATAAATGTCAGCACATTTGTGAATGCACATTGTGGGCCGTTTGGAGACGTATTAGATGAGCGACATGATTAGTATCCTCTGGAATATTGACAAATGAAATATTTTTATTACTTTGAGCTCATTTTGAAGTTACTTTGTCCTGAAACCAATCAAAATCATCTCAATTTCTGTAGTACAGCTACTTTCAAATGATGCCAAGAAACTGAGAATAAAACCATAAAACTGTCCAAAATATTTTAAAACCATACACACAGATCTTTGTTTTCCCATCATGCCCGGCATAGATGCAGAATATTTTTTAAATGGCACACACTCCCTGCAAAGACCCACTCTTGTATGTAGGCTTACCAGCCCTCTTGTGATAAATTTGAAGCCACTAGAATTACATTTTAAGGCATGGACCCTGAGCTCGGAGGGTGATACAGGAGGGCCCTGTTTTACAACTCATTGCTTTACGGGTGGTTCGCTAATGCAGCTGTTTTGAATTCTACCCGTTCTTCATTTCTTCAGATTTCCTACAATAAATATATTCACCACTCGCTATAAGCTAAGGAAGAAATATTTTAAGTAAGTAGTGTGTGTTGTGTATGTGCATTTTTTAGGCCTAGCTGTATTGCTAACTTAACATATAATAGTGTAAACATGTTATCCAGCTTTAACATGCATTTGAAAGTGAAAAAAAGGTTATGATTCACTACAGTGATTTTTGCTTTACAGTGATAGCCCAGAACTTAACTTGCTGTATAAGTGGGGCCCTTCTGTATTCCAGCATGAACGTAAGGGTTAAAGCTCTGGTATTATAAAAAATTCGCTTAGCTTTATATGTATATTTTTTTTTTTTCAACAAGTCGGCCGTCTCCCACCAAGGCTTTATATATTGCTGATAATTTTAATTTTACTTCGGTTGGAGGGTTTGGGTAAAGTAGGTTTTGTGGGCAAAGGGCTTGGACTTCCAGCAAGCATGTGTGAGCGTGTTTGATAGGAGTGAATGGAGACTGATGGTTTTTGGGACCTGACAAGCTGTTGGAGTGCGAGTAAGGTAACATTTTGTATCGGGAAACCAGTTAGCTGGACTCGAGTCCTGGAAATGGGAAGTACAATGCATGCACTGTAAAGGAAGGGTTTGGGATATTGGAAGTTTGGAGGGACATCTAAACTGTCATATCTGAGCGCCTCTGCAAAGACAGTGATTATGTATGAGTGATGGTGAATGTTGAATGATGAGGGAAGTTTTTTTTCTCGATTTTTGGGTCACCTTGCTTCAGTGGGAAATGGCTGACATGTTGAAAAAAAACTTATCTGCACAAAGCTATTGAGCAAGTTGAGTTGTACACATGGAATGTCAGAGAAACTTGTTCCTTGTATTGAATGTAATAATGCTTTCCTGTACTACTAATACATACTTTTTGTCAAAGAACCTCAGGATGACATCAGTTAGCCATAGGCTATTTAATCTTTGTCACCTGTTTGGGTTGTAATGTCCACTGTCTGGTGTAGAGGCTTTGTATCATGTGAAGAATGTGAACATAAAATTTTTTAATAATTGAGCAGTTCTTTCTGCATGTTAGTGCTGCTTATTACCACCACAAACTTATTCACTGATGCCTCATCATGAAGCCTAAAGGAGATTTTGCAAGTTTCATAAGGTAATTTTGATAAATTGGTGACTAGAAAGGTAGGGTAATGATCAGTAGTATTGTCTGCTGTTGGAGGAGCTGGAATATTGTTAAACATAAATGCTCATAGGAGTCTTATGTTTGTTGCTGATGTTAGAGATTCTCACAAACACGAGCACATAATAAAAGTGCTTTTTCTTTTGGTTTGATATTTATTTTCGTAGTTCTCTTGAGAAAAATTGGCTCTTAAAAGAATGTAAGAATTTTGTTTTCAAAATTTTTCTATATACACGTACAAGGGAATTACAACTTCAGGGCCAGCCACCGTTAACAAGGATTAATTCACCTTAGCTGTATTTCCAAATCATTTCAGCTGTAAGCCTGCAAAGATTTAAATTAAATAAAATTAAATGTTGAAAAAATGAGATAGGATTGTGCAAAAGCAGAGGAAATAAAGATCAAATTATGCTGTTGGAGCACAGATTACAATGTACCAAGTTGAATTCAAGCTAGTGTTTTATACAGCACATACATTTTTGTATATGTTGCTAGTTTAATAAACTAGCTATTGCATATTTTAAGCTCCAAATGTGTACATTCCCAAACAAATTTCAAAAGTAGAGTTAATTTCTAATAATTCTGCACATGCCCTTTATCCCTTAATTTAAAATTATCTATTTATATTTCCAGAAAGAAATGATATATAAAATAGTACAGTACTGCTGTAAAACGAAAATTGCTGTAAAGCGAAGCATTGCCCATTTTTTTTCACTTTTAAATGCATATTAAGGCCTAATAGCATGTTTACACTGTCGTATATTAAGTGAGCAATAGAGCTAGGCCTAAAAAAAATGCATATACATAACACACTACTTGCCTTATAATATTTTCGTCCTTAGCTGATAGTGAGTGGCGAATATATTTATTGTAGGAAGTCTGAATAAATGAAGAATGGGTATAATTGAAAACCACTGCATAAGCAAAGCACTGTAGAATGGGGCCCAACTGTATCACTATTAGAATAATCAAACTGCTATTTATACTACATTAAACATTTAATTTGAGTTGGTATCGTAGCATTGAAATTGCGTACTTTTATTTCCACTTCATGCTGCTGATCTAACATAAAAACAGTTTTCTCTGGCTTTTAGTCAAGTGGTTATACGATAAAAGTTCAGTTTAACTTTGTTATACAGTTTACAAATTTGCCAGTACACTAATTGAAAAGCTTTTTGGGCTATACCCAGAAGGAAAACAAAATAGTACATACACAGTTATTCTAAGGTCACTGCCATTATTTTATTTTTGAATGTCCCCTTATGTAATGCCCTTGCTTATTAATATTTTCAGGCCATCATAACCATGGTCCCTGAAGCATGGCAGAATGAAAAGCTGATGAACCCCGAAAAGCGGGACTTCTATCGTTGGGTGCTTGTGCAATGGAGCCATGGGATGGACCTGCACTGTGACATTCACCGTGGTCGCTATATTGGAGCTATTCTGGACAGGTGTGTGTTATGCCTTATGGCTATTGGCTAGACCCTCTGCTTCTGCTCCCTCAGTACAGTACCTAGCTGGGGGAGGTTGGTGTTTAGACGAGGTACTGTACCTGGTATTTAAGTTAATGAAGTAGTGTGTAAGGAAAGAATAGCTAGTAAGTGTTCCCACATGGTTTTATTAGCAATTATTTTAAAAACCACTATTCACATGGCTGCTATTATATATCTATTCCTAATAATATTAATAACAAACCAATGTACAAAATGATCTATGCAATATAATATACTAAGTTTACTCCTTGTTGCTTGTGACAAAGGTAACAAATGTTCAAAAAATGCAGGTCAGGTGTTATTGATTACCCGCTCTTAAGTCTTCTAAAAAAAAAAAGTGGGCTTTGTTCACTTTTGTTTGAAACAGATATTTAGTGACTGATAAAACTTAAATACTTTTAACAGCCTAGTTTAGACAAAGACTGTAGATGAGAGAGGCAGCATAACTCTGGACTGGTTGGTGCCTAGGCCTTCTTTTAGTGCTGTTAGATAATGCGAGAAATTGTAGTGCAAGATTGTCACCTTTACATCTCCAGCTATTGCTGATTATTGGTGCTGCAACTCCTCTTCCTTTTGTTAATCCTTGTGTAATATTCCTAAGGAAAAATGCATCTTGTATCAGTTATGATTTAGTGAATGTATTTAGTTGAAGGCTTTTATTTATTCTTTAATTCAAATTACGGGTCTCCCTCAACATTCGCGAGGGTTAGGGGATCAAGTGCCTTGCGAATATTGAAAAATCGCGAATGTTTAGTGCCCCAATATATTGTAGGGAAATATAATACAATACTGCTTCCTTAACTTGTTGAACCATGAACAATTATAAAATACATGAAAACATCTTAAATTGTACTAAATACATACATGTTATGGTTTAATAACATGTATGTTATTAAATACCACTGCGAGTCCCTACTACCCTCCCTCCGACCCCCGCAATTGGCAGCCAGCCTTCACACCACTGTGTGGTGAGTGTTTTGTTTGTTTATTATTTGCTATTAAACTACAGTATAAATAATGTAAACCCATTCATGACTGCATATTGGAATGGCTATTTGGACAGGTATTGGACGGTGACTACAAACCACTACCCTACCTTCCTCCTGACAAACATTAGTAAACCACCACTTGAATACAACAAAGTCTCATTTAGACTCCATGACGAGGCCTCAGTAAGGAAGTTCACAGCTGACCTAGAGACTGTTGATTGGCCTACAGAATTCTCCAAGGCCAATGGTATTGATGACTGGACAGACATCTTTCTTAACAAATTACTTAGACTATACAACAAACATTGTCCTATAAAAACAAAACAGATCACAAACAAACGGCTTGGTTGCCCATGGCTAACCGCACCATTCTGAATCCATGACAAGAAACACCAATATGAAAAGCAATATAGACAGGGCTTAATACACAAAGATACTCTTAAACACATTCATCAGCTCTCACCAAAGTAATAAAAAAGCCAAACAACTATTACTACTCCAGTAGATTCACAGACATAGAGGAGATATAAAAAAGACCTGGAAAACACTCTCTCAGATTCTAGGGACCCCCAAATGAGGAAACCAAGAATATTGTCCTAACTAAACCTAATGAAACACCACTACATCCCACTGACACAGCTAACAAGATAAACGACTTCTCAAAATAGGATTAATCTCGCCAGTAAAATCCCCCATACCAATGCCATGCGGGGGGTACCTAGATGGAAATTTCCTTTAAATTCCCTTTTATCTTGCACCAACTGAGCCAACGGGAAATCATTGAGACCGTTAAGTCACTTAAAAATAACTCGGGGAATCTGTCTCATGTCCCCCCATTACTGTTCAAGCGAGCGGCCCATGTCCTTTCGCATGCTATTTCATTACTTTTTAACAAGTCACTAGAGACTAGCACCTTCCCGAAACTACTCAAGTGGCAAGGGTTACCCCAATACTAAAGGTGGTGACCCTACAGACTTAAACAACTATAGGGCCAATATCTAACTTACCATTGCTATCCAAAATTTTTGAGAAAACTCGTGCACAGGAGAACTGTATTCATTTATAACGGCTCAAAACATACTCAACCCCTGCCAGTTTGGATTCAGGAAAATAAAAGCACAAATTTGATGCAATCATAAAAATGCTAGATCTGCTTTACACGCATTGGAAATTAAGGGGAATACCCACTAGGAATTTTTATTGACCTAAAAAAGCTTTTGACAAAATTTAAACCACGAAACCCTACTCCACAAACTTGACCACTAGGGTATAAGAGGCCATGGTTTGCTTATTTCAAATCTTGCATTACTAATAGGTACCCAGTACGTCACCATTAAAGACACGCATCAGCAACACGGCCACTTGATACTGGAGTTTCGCAGGGAAGTGTCCTTGGTCCCTGCTCTTCCTAAAATACATCAGTGGACCTTCCTAACGTATCCCAACACCTGAAACCATTCTCTTTGCTGATGACACGACTTATGTCATCTCTCACCCTTAATCTTGCCCCTCAACACCATTGTGAATGAGGAGCTGTTTAAAAATATCGACTTGGATGACACCCAATAAAATTACGCTTAACACTGACAAAATTGCTATATTATGTTTGGTAGCAGAGCAGGAGATGCAAAAATTAACATTAAGATTGACAACACTCTAATTCCCAAAAAAATAATGGGGGGAAAATTCCTAGGCTTACACCTTGACAACAACCTGAATTTCGAAACCATATCCAGCATATAGCCAAAAAAAAGTATCCAAAACAGTTGGGATCCTCTACAAGATACGATACTACGTCCCGCAAAATGCTTCTCACACTATACCACCACTTATTTATCCATACCTCACCTATGCTATTTGTGCTTGGGGATCAACTGCAGCAACACACCTAAAGCCAATAATAACCCAACAAAAGCTCCCAGTACGAATAATCCTAAACCCCATCCCTGGCAGCACACCCCCCACTCTTCAAGATCAAACTTACTCCCAGTTCAGTACTCCACACTTATACTGTGCAATCTATATCTACAGGGCCTTAAACTCTAATATCAACCTTGACCTAAAATGTTTTCTTGTTAGTTGGGGACAGAACCACGGCTTAACACCAGAAACAACATCTCTACGACTTTCCCCCGTGTCCGACAAAACCTTTAAAAAAATTTCAATATATGTCAAAGGCCAAAAATCTGGGAATACCCTACCTGGGGAAATCTAGAACTGCAGACACATTCATCACCTTCAAAATACCATTAGAAAACTCTTATCTCCTGATACACCCCGTCAACTAACTAACGATTTTCCACCTGGTGGTTCACACTTACACTCGCTCACTCTTTGACCATAAACAGAAATATTAATCTCAGTCTTAAATAATGAATCCCGTGATACTCCAATACTGAAAAACCCTATACTGTGCCCAAAAAAAAAGCATTCACATTGCTAAACCACAAATAGTATTTTGTCACTAGCCATAATACCAACTTTCCCATAATTTGTAATATTTTACAATTAAGAATAAAAATAAGTTGCCCCAAATGCCCTTTCCATGCTAAGGTTCTAGTGGTACCCCTCTGTAATCAATTTTACTACATGTAAACCAAACAATAACCAAATTTTTTGTAAAAATCAGCATTGTAATCCTTATAGAGAATAAACTTTTAATTTGAATTTGAACACGGCAAAGAATCAAACATTTCTGCTACTGCTAATAATAACAACAGTAATAATAATAATAAATACGATAGAATTGAAGAAGGAAATTGTACAAAAATACGAGGGAGTGGTTGACACAGTCAGTGTGGCTTTGTTTATGCTGGAGTGAGCATTAGTCTCCGTGCTCTTCCAAACATTTCACAATAATTCATTGTGTTTGGTGCCTGTAGATGGAGTGCGACTGGAGCGGTAGAGGCAGCAGTAGAGGCAGCAGTTGAGGCAGTGGTATTTAATAACATCTATGTTATAAATAATAATAGTACATGTTATTATTAATAACATGTATTATTATTATTATTAATAACATAAGATAAGGCTAAAGAGGTCTTTGTGGCATTTATGGATTTGGAAAAGGCGTATGACAGGGTGGATAGGGGGGCAATGTGGCAGATGTTGCAAGTGTATGGTGTAGGAGGTAGGTTACTGAAAGCAGTGAAGAGTTTTTACGAGGATAGTGAGGCTCAAGTTAGAGTATGTAGGAAAGAGGGAAATTATTTCCCAGTAAAAGTAGGCCTTAGACAAGGATGTGTGATGTCACCATGGTTGTTTAATATATTTATAGATGGGGTTGTAAAAGAAGTAAATGCGAGGGTCTTGGCAAGAGGCGTGGAGTTAAAAGATAAAAAATTTCACACACAAAGTGGGAGTTGTCACAGCGCTCTTTGCTGATGACACTGTGCTCTTGGGAGATTCTAAAGAGAAGTTGCAGAGATTGGTGGATGAATTGGTAGGGTGTGAAAAAAGAAAAAAAATTAAAGGTGAATACGGGAAAAGGGAGTAAGGTTATGAGGATAACAAAAAGATTGGGTGATGAAAGATTGAATATCAGATTGGAGGGAGAGAGTATGGAGGAGGCGAATGTATTCAGATATTTGGGAGTGGACATGTCAGCGGATGGGTCTATGAAGATGAAGTGAATCATAGAATTGATGAGGGGAAAAGAGGGGAGTGGTGCACTTAGGGTCTGTGGAGACAAAGAACTTTGCCCTTTGGAGGCAAAGAGGGGAATGTATGAGATTTATAGTTTTACCAACACTCTTATATGGGTGTGAAGCATGGGTGATGAATGTTGCAGCGAGGAAAAGGCTGGAGGCGTGGTATGTCATGTCTGAGGCAATGTGTGGTGTAAAATATAATGCAGAGATTCGTAGTTTGGAAGTTAGGAGGAGGTGGGGGATTACCAAAACTGTTGTCCGAGG